CATCACACGAGCTACTGGAACCCTAATGAACCTGTGAATATCCTGTGAACTACGTAAGAGCTGATAAACCTGTGAATAGCTGGCAGAACCAGTAAACAGCTGATGAACCGGTAAACAGATAATGAACCAGAAAGAAACTGATGAACCTGCGAATAATTTTATTTTAAAATAGATAATTAGTTCGAGACGTATATATTAACAAAATCTACGCCATATGAAGGTCTCTGAAATTGCTCTCTAAAGAATAAAGGCTTCTCTGAGTCCTTTATTTTGGTTAATTGCCCTAATTATTATAACCCTCTCTTAATACCTCTTAATTTCCGATTCATTCATTTTCCTTTATGCCCTTTGCACATTCATTACAATTTAATTGTAAATGTATGTATATACATATGTGTAAGTATATACATATTGGATTCGCTTGACTTGACAGATATCACCTCCTACGCTTTGTACGATTACCTGTATGTGTAAATGTTACCAACCTTGGCGGAACGCGTCTGTGTATGAATGTTTTTTCTTCTGATAAATGATGTTGATGATGAGTATAATAATTACATTGCCGTGACGAAGCGAGAATGGGTGTGGAGTGTGTGTGGTAAAATTGCCGAATAATACGTAATTTTAAGTTAAGTTAATTGTCTATGTGTGTGTCTGTCTGCCAGTATGCTTGTCTGTCTCTCTCTCTGTGTCTTAGTAAGCATTTGTCGGGAATTGAAAATAATTATTCTTTACTTCAGGGTTGAGAGGAATCATTGGTTTTTCGAGATTTCTTTTGTGTAATTGTATGGAAGTAGAATAAGCGGAAATGCCAAAAAGGATAAATAGACAATAGATATATCTCTGCGATTGACATCTAGATGGATGGAATCGTTCTATGACGATAAGGAGGTAATTAGGTTAAGGGGTTAACTATGCTAAGGGGTTAAAAGGATAATCATTAGATAAAAATATACCTTTCATTATCAGGAAAACGTGAATTGGCAAAAAATGAAATGATTGAGGGACTAAGGTGCGTATACGTGTTGTCGGTATGTATACGCCAGGTGGACCATAAATTGAAAATACACTTTAAAAGGTAATTTGGTGGAAAAATTCACGGTTTCCGGTTAAATACTTTTTCAATCGCCAACAACTGAAATTTCTGGGTAGGGAGTTTTTGACCAACAGTCTAAAAAAAATAATACACGAGTTCTAGAAAAAAAAATATTTCAAATAATCATGATATCGAAACCTGACGCGGATTGTGGTAAGAAACCAACTAACTGTAAGGACAAAACTGAGAAACTTGATTTATTTTTTTTTAGACTATGTGACTAACTAAAATAACCCCTTACAGTTTGCTGGAAAATTTCACATTATTTGTCATTCCAAATCCCTACCTCCTTGTACACCCTGTTTTTCTCTCTGTGCTGAACTGAAATATTCCCACACATTATTTTCACTCTGACAATGAAGTTCAACGTTAAATATTTTATATCCGTTTTTTTTTCTTGCACATCAACATAAAGGGCATATTTAATTGATTTGTTTGTTTAACCCACATCCACACACACACACATACGAATACAAAAATATATTCTCATGGCAAACTGAGTGACACACATCACATTACAATTCTTTTAATTAATCCATAATTTATATGGAATGATATGGAAATGACATGACAAGGGTGGGGAAAGGGTATAAATAAAATGACGAGAGTGGTGGAAATGATAAATGTATGACAAATAAATTGAATATCTGATTACCATAAATTTTTGTAATGGATATAAGCGGTAATTATTTATGGTGGGATGGGGAAATACGGCACTTTAAAAATATTTTTATACCCTTCACCACTCTATGGTACAGGGTATTATGTCTTGGTGCATATGTTTGTAACAGGCAAAAGGATAGATAGACACATGGTTCCTTTTGAGAATATACATAGAACGACTTTCTGAGTCGATTTATGCATGTCCGTACATACGTCTGTCTGTCGATGCTAAATTGTAAACAACGTACAGGTCGCATTTATAATCCAAATTGGATGAAATTTGGCATAGGTCATTTATTTGGCCCAAGGACGAACCCTATTGAAATTGGGAAAAATCGGTTCAGATTTAGATATAGCTCCCATATATATTTTTGTCCGATTTAATGTAAACGGTCCGTATATATCTTTCGATTTGCACGAAATTTGGTACACCGTAATGAATTGGGTCTAGAATGATGTGTGTCAAGTTTCCTGAAAATCGGTTCAGATTTGGAAATAGCTCCAATATATATTTTCGTCCGATTTAAGGTAGATGGTGTACCAAAGTCCCTCTATATATTTCGATTTGTACGAAATTTGTTACAGCGTAATGAATTAGGCCTAGAATAATGTGTGTTAAATTTCGTGAGAATCGGTTAAGATTTATATATAGCTCTCATACATATATTTTCGTCCGATTTAATGTAAATGGTGCACCAAAGTCCCTATATATCTTTCGATATAGTGTGTTAAGTTTCTAGAAGGATGTGTGTTAAGTTTCATGAAAATCGGTTCAGATTTGGATATAGCTCCCATATATATTTTCGTTCGATTTTATGTAAATGGTGTACAAAAGTCCCTATATATCTTTCAATTTGCACGAAATTTGGCACAGAGTAATGAATTAGGTCTAGAATGATGTGTGTGAAGTTTCCTGAAAATCGGTTCATATTTGGAAACAGCTCCCATATATATATTCGTCCGATTTTCGGTAAGTAGTGCCCCAAATCCCTTTGTATCATTCGATTTGCACGAAATTTCAAAAAGCGTGCTGAATTAAGCCTAGAACGATGTGTGTTAAATTTCGTAAAAATCATTTGAGATTTAAATGTAGCTCCCATATATATTTTCGTCCGATTTTAGGTAAATAGCGCACCAAAGTCCCTTTATATCGTTCGATTTGCACGAAATTTGGCATAGCGTACTGAATTGAGTCTAGAATGATGAGTGATGAGTTTCGGGAAAATCGGTTGAGATTTCGACATATCTCTCATATATATTTTCGTCCGATTTTATGTAAATGGTGCACCAAGGACCCTATAGATATCCTTCGGGAGGGGACATAGACATGCAATTGTTAGGATACATATGTACACTATACCCAAAGTGGTGAAGGGTATCATATAGTGGGCCCAGTCCGACTTTACTACTTTCCTTACAGGTTTTTTATTAAATCTATGTCTTATACAGGCCCGTAAAAATATTTTTTAACCAGTGAGCGGAGCAGTATAGTCGGGCGTGGCCGACCATACGATACCCTACACAACTGCCACGAAACTCTATCTTTCTGTGGATGTTTATTTCGAACTTGGACAATATATTTGCTCCCTCTAGCCCAATTAGAGGTCAACAGCATCTGATATATTTTCCGAACATTACTATTCATATTCAGTACAGATTCCTTTCACCGTGGGTTTGTTGTGATTTTCGGCCTTTTTATTGGCATCGACACAAAAAAAAAAAAAAAAAAAAAAGAAAAAAAATTACTATTCGGCCCACTTCATCCCATAATTATCATCTGATCATCACCGAAAGTTATAGGCGTTGTCCTTGACCATAACTGGAACCTCATGGAAAATTTCAAATCGATCAGCGCTATATTTCCGCCCTCTAGTGTGGTAATGGGTTACTAAATTATATCTGAGTAGGTAAGCACCTGTTAATATTTAAGCGTAACTCCCACATCCGAGTACATACAACTATATAATTTGTATCAATTTAAAGGTCAACCACTCCTCTGGGATATATTATCAAATTTTCGGGTCTATGTCCTTCATGGGCAAATATGACCCGCTAAATATTGACCGATCGTTATCATAGAATAGAACATAGACCGATCGTTACGCCATAGAATACAAATTTTGTAATTTTTCACACAAAAGTCTGGGTCAATTTGACCCGCTAAATATTGGCCGATCTTTATCAAAATAGGCAGGTTTATTCTTTGGCCCGATATTCTTCTCCGTGAAGTTTGGGCCATAATTGCGGCCTCTAGAGAAACCACAAAAACCGACAAAAATTAAGATTTGGTCCATTTCATCCCCTAAATATTAAACGATCTTTACCAACAACAATAGGGGTCTTCATTGGGCCGAACCCTTCCTACATGCAAAATTTCGTGAAAATTGGTCCATAACTGTGGCCTGTATCGTGTTTACGAATTATAATGGACAGACGGAAGGATGGACAGACACATATGTCTAGATCGACTCAGCTAGTCGAGGTATGATGATCGGTATACTTAAAGTTGGGTCTAGGACAAATATTTCGCGGCGTTACAAACTCTTGGGGCTGCACAAAACTATAATACCCTGACAACATAGTGCGTAGGGTGTAATAAATCTATGCCTTATACAGGCTTTTAAAAAATATTTTAATAAATCTATGCCTTATATAGATCATTAAAAATAATTTTTAATAAATCTACGCCTTACATAGGTCTTTAAAAATAGTTTTTTATAAAGGTTCTTAAAAACAATTTTTTAATAAATCTACGCTTTATAAAGATCTTTAAGTAGCCCAGAACTTCTTTTGGTCCTTGAAAATATAGTTTTTATTCTATGTCTCCCATGGAATCTATTTCGGATTCCCTGTCGTATAAGTATTGTCATAAATTATACGCCCTACTGGCCTCCTCTCATTAAAATTAATTTTTGTTTTGCTGGTTTTCCTCCCTTTTATCTTTCATTTTTTTCCTATCATCTCATTTAAATAGCCTCAATAGCCAATTTCCCCCTGCTAAGTAGGGAAACTTAATCAACTGGACATTTATTATTCCACTACTTTAGTTATCCTTGCGGCTTCCTTTCTAAATAGCTTTACATTTTTCATTTCCTTAGACCCACGGGCGATTGCAACTATCAATTGTGAGTAATGCAAAATCAAATCGTCCCCCCTCCCAAAAAACTATAGCCACTTAAAACAAAAGGAAAGAGAGAATGAGGAAGTAGAAAAAAAAAAGAAAATGAATAACGATACTTACGATAAATATCCAATTTCCAGCCATCTTCCATGCCCGATTCGGGTATCATACTCTGTTCGGCACGACAGGATAAATATTTGCCACGGTCATCAATTGTGGGTGTAAAGGTTAATATTGATGTGGTCATATTACCATCGGGATTAGCCTGTTAAAACAATCAGACAATGAGAACGAGAGACAAACACACAGAGATACAAAATTAATTAGAATGACAGTGTGAGTGGTAAGGATAACAGACAACAACAACAAAAATAAGACCGCAGGCTAAAGTGGTTTTGTGTGTGATATTTTGCTTAAATATAAATATGTTTGTTTTTGGGAGGATACGAAAAAGATGAGCGAGGGAGGATGAGGAAGGGAACATGGATTGAAATCAAACCACCAAGAATGCAAACAAAATTTTTTATACGGAAGGAAAACCAAAAAAACGAAAACGTTACGGAAGAAAAACATGATAAAAAAATGATAAAAGAAAACGAGAGGAAAAAACCGAAACCGAAATGAAGTGGAGCTGAGATTGGCTTGATTTAACTTTTGAATGAAACATGTGATATTTATCTAAATGTGAATCTACGTAGATCTATCCATAAAGTATGTAAATCGACTTCAAACAAATATAAATAGGTCACCCGTTGGGCTATGTCTGTACTTCTAGAAAACTACATAATTCTATGCTCAATTTTGTACGTTGTGCAAAATTTGATGTCAAACTGACTAACATGAGGAGTTTGAGGCCCAATTTACTTGATATCGGGCCAAATATTAAGCGATTTCACAGGATACGTTATACTAATTTCAGAACGTTTTGTTCCTATTGGTTCCTTGGTGCGTCAAGTACTTAAAATCAATCTTTAATAAAAGGGAGCTATATCTAAATGTGGACCGATTTTCACGAAACAACGCAGACATCAATCTAGGCTCAATTCAGTACGTTATGCCAAATTTCGTGCAAATCGAAAGATATATAGGACTTTGGGGTACCATTTACATGAAATCGGACGAAACTATATATGGGAGCTATATCTAAATCTGGACCGATTTTCACGAACCTTTACATACATCATTCTAGACCTAAATGATTAGTCTCTACCAAATTTCGTGCAAATCGAAAGATATATAGGGACTTTGGGGCACCATTTACATGAAATCGGACGAAACTATAAGTGGGAGCTATATAGAAATCTGGACTGATTTTCATAAAACTTGGCAGACATCCTTCTAGGCTCAATTAAGTACGTTATGCCAAATTTCGTGCAAATCGAAAGATATATAGGGATTTTGGGGCACCATTTACATGAAATCGGACGAACCTATATAGGCAGACATCACTCTAGGCTTAATTTACGTTATGCCAAATTTCGTGCAAATCAAGATATATAGGACTTTGGGGTACCATTTACATGAAATCGGACGAAACTATATATGGGAGCTATATCTAAATCTGGACCGATTTTCACGAACCTTTACATACATCATTCTAGACCTAAATGATTAGTCTCTACCAAATGCAAATCGAAAGATATATAGGGACTTTGGTGTACCATCTATATATGGGAGCTATATCTAAATCTGGACCGATTTCCACGAAACTTTACATACATCATTCTAGACCTAAATGAATAGGCTGTACAAAATTTCGTGCAAATCGAAAGATATATAGGGACTTTGGGGCACCATTTACATGAAATCGGACGACACTATATATGGGAGCTATATCTAAATCTGGACCGATTTTCACGAAACTTTGCAGACATCATTCTAGACCTAAATGATTAGGTTGTACCAAATTTCGTGGAAATCGAATGATATATAGGGACTTTGGGGCACCATTTACATGAAATCGGACGAAACTATATATGGGAGCTATATCTAAATCTGGACCGATTTTCTCGAAACTTGGCAGAAATCACTCTAGACTTAATTCAGTACGTTATGCCAAATTTCGTGCAAATCAAAAGATATATAGGGATTTTGGGGCACCATTTACATGAAATCGGACGAACCTATATGAGGGAACTATATCTACATCTGGACCGATTTTCTCGAAACTTGGCAGACATCACTCTAGGCTTAATTCAGTACGTTATGCCAAATTTCGTGCAAATCAAAAGATATATAGGGACTTTGGGGCACCATTTACCTGAAATCGGACGAAACTATATATGGGAGCTATATCTAAATCTGGACCGATTTTCACGAAACTTGGCAGACATCATTATAGGCCTAAATGATTAGCCTGTACAAAATTTCGTGCAAATCGAAAGATATATAGGGACCGTTTACATTAAATCGGTTAAATATATATATGGGAGCTATATCTAAATCTGAACCGATTTTTCCCAATTTCAATAGGGTTCGTCCTTGGGCCGAATAAGTGACCTCTGCCAAATTTCATCCAATTCGGATCATAAATGCGACCTGTACTTTGTTTACAATTTAACATGGACAGACAGACGGACAGACGGACAGACGGACAGACGGACGGACGGACGGACGGACATGCATAAATCGACTTAGAAAGTGATTCTATGCATATTCTCAAAAGGAACCATGGGTCTATCTCGATTATTTTTGCCTGTTACAAACATATGCACAAAGACATAATACCCTGTACCACAGTGTGGTGAAGGGTATAAAAACGAAAACGTTACGGATGAAAACCATGATAAAAGAAAACGAAAGAAAAAAACCGAAACCGAAATGAAGTGGAGCTGAGATTGGCTTGATTTAACTTTTGAATGAATAACTGCATGGTTGGTTTGCTTGGCGGTTTCGTTGGATGGATCGATGGATGGATGAATGAAGAGTGACTGCTGCTGTTGGGATAAACAATCTGGCAGAAGATACCATTCATCAATTGTGGGTAGGAAGATAGAGAAACCAGAAAAAAGAAGAAAACGAAAAAATTGGAGCACATTTTTTTGTGCGACAGGAAAAAGTGGAGAATGAGGAAGGGGATTTTCTTTATATATAAGATTAAATTTGTAATATATAAAACCTACATTTAATGGTACTTACAATTTCATGAGTATTCTTCATTGGTGTACTACCCTTCCACCAGGTGATAGTAGGTGCCGGCCGCGAACCAGTGACAACACAACTCAGCTGATAGGAATTCCCCGCAGATAAGGGGCGATTTTCTCCTTGGAGTTTTACGAACAGGGGGCGTACTAGAAAGAGAAGAAAAAAATAAGTTTTTAAAAATTCTCACCTATGTATGTATGCCCTAAAAATATCTTTTAAAACTCCGGGCCTCAATTTATACCCTTAAAACCAGTAAGAAAGTAGTAAAGTGGGACTGGACCGACTATATGATACCCTTCACCACTTTGGGTATGTATCCTAACAATTGCATATGTATCCTAACAATTGCATGTCTATGCTCCCTCTTTCTCCAACCTATCCTAACTTAAATTTCATTCGAGCAGATTTAGAGCCGTCTGCGTAACATGGCGAAAAATTTATGGAAAACGATTTATAGCAAAATTGATACACGCTATTCGGTACGCCGCGTTGTTAAAAATATAATCTATATGTGGTAGCTATATATAAATCTAAACCGATTTTCACAGAATTTAACACACATCGTTCTAGACTTAATTAAGTACGCTTTGCCAAATTTCGTGCAAATCGAAGGATATAAAGGGGCTTTGGTGCATAATTTACATGAAATAGGACGCAAATATATATGGGAGCTATATCTAAATCTGAACCGATTTTCACGAAACCTAACTCAAGGCTTAATTTAGTACGCTATTCCAAATTTCGTGCAAATCTTGCACCATTTACATAAAATCGGACGAATATATATATATCGGAGCTATATCTAAATAAGAACCGATTTTTCCCAATTTCAATAGGGTTCGTCCTTGGACCAAATAAATGAGCTGTGCCAAATTCCATCGAATTCGAATCATAAATGCGACCTGTACTTTGTTTACAATTGAACATGGACAGACGGACGGACGGACATGCATAAATCGACTCAGAAAGTGATTCTATGCATATTCCCAAAATGAACCATGGGTCTATCTCCATTATTTTTCCTGTTAAAAACATATGCACAAAGACATAATACCCTGTACCCGTGTGTGGTGAAGAGTATAAAAATTAATTGATTATACCCTTCACCACACTGTGGTACATAGTATTATGTCTTTGTGCATATGTTTGTAACAGCCAGAAATAATCGATATTGACCAATGATTCCTTTTGAAAATATGCATAGAATCACTTTCTGTGACGATTTGTGCATGTCCGTCCGTCCCTCTGTCCGTCTGTCCATGTTAAATTGTAAACAAATTGCAGGTCGCATTTATGATCCGAATTGGATGAAATTTGGCACAGCTCATTTGTTTGGCACAATGACGAACCCTATTGAAATTGGGAAAAATTGGTTCAGATTTAGATATAGCTCCCATATATATTTTCGTCCGATTTAAGGTAAATGGTGCATCAAAGCCCCAATATATCTTTCGATTTACACGAAATTTGGCATAGCCTACTGAATTAAGTCTAGAATGATGTGCGCAAAGTTTCATGAAAATTGGTTCAGATTTAGATATAGCCCTCATATATAGCTTCGCCCGATTTTAGGTAAATAGTCCATTAAAGCCGCTGGAAATCTTTTGACTTGCACGAAATTTGGCACAGCGTAATGAATATGGTCTAGAATGATGTCTGCAAATTTTTTTGAAAATTGGTTCAGATTTAGATATAGCTCCCATATATATCTTCGTCCGATTTAAGGTAAATTGTGTACCAAAGTCGCTGAAGATTATTCGATTTGCACGAAATTTGTCATAGCGTACTGAATTAAGGCTAGAATGACGCGTGCAAAGTTTCGTGAAAACCGGTTCAGATTTAGATATAGCTCCCATATATATTTTCGTTCGATTTTATGTAATAGGTGCAGCAAAATCCTTATATATCTTTAGATTTGCACGAATTTTGGTATAGGGGACTGAATTAAGTCTAGAATGTTGTTGCTAAGCTTCACGAAAATTTCCATAGCTACACCGATTGACACAACGTTCTGATGTAATATAAATAAGTCTCTGGCAAGTTTCCCTGAAATCGGTTCAGATATAGATATATAACAAAAACGCGTCGTCTGTTAGGATACATATGTAGAAATTTGGCACAGTGTAATGAATTAGATCTAGAATGATGCGTGTTAAGTTTCCTAAAATCGGTTCAGATTTAGATATAGCTTCTATAGCTGACCAAATGACAAATTTAGTATTGGTTGCAGAATGGCATGTTTATGGAGGATCCAATTTCATTTTACTGGTCCTTTAAAAATGCGACGCCTGTTAGGGTTCATCTGTTGAATATACCCAAAGTGACGAAGGGTATCATATAGTCGGCCCAGTCCGACTTTACTACTTTCCTTACTGGTTTAAATTTCCCCCTCTCTTGCCCATTTTAAGCTGTCACAAAAACTAACATTTACTCTGTGTTTGTTATATTTTTTAATTTTTTCCAATAAAAGTGTTTGAAATATTCTTTTTTGTGTTCACACTTACAGTTCATGTCCAATGTCACGGTGTTTGTTATTGGCACCGTGATATTATTGTTGGCTGCCACGCACGTTAGCTGCATGTTCAAATTGCTGCGTTTCAATTTGCCCAGTGAAAGGATATTGCCGACACGACGATCTGACAATGGATGTGATGAGCCGTCAAGCAGTGTATTTTCACGCCACCAGGTAACGCGTGGTTGTGGTGAACCTGTAAATGGATGAATGATGGGGAAAAAAAATATTAAAATATATTTATTATATAATGTGTGGCAAATAATTATAATATCCAAAATCGAAGAAGAGTGTGAGGAGAGAAGGGTAACCCTTGAAGCAATTCAAAGCATGAAAACATATTTTTAAAAATGCACGCCTTATTGTAGGCCTTGAAACTTATGGTAGACCTTGAGAACATATTTTTAAAAATCCACGCCTTGTGTAGACCTTGAAAACATATTTTTAAAAATCCAAAAATCCAATCCTAACATTAGGCTTTGAAAAAATATATTTTAAATCTCCACGCATAAGGATAGGCTATAAAAAATAGTTTTAACAAAATTCACGCCTAAGGATAGGCTATAAAAATATTTTGAAAAATGCACGCCTAATGGAAGGCTATGAACAAATATTTTTAACAATTCACGCCAAATTGTAAGTTTTTTGTAAAATAAACACGCATACTTATATGCCGTGAAAAAATTTCAATTTTATTTTTAGATCTTTAAATAAATTTAATTTTTTACCCTGCACCCTCCCCTTTTCCCATTAAAATGCATTTGAAGCACTTTCATTTGTCATCATCATCATCATCATCACCACCACCACAATTTTTTTTATAGAGCACTCTCTCTCTCTCAGTGTTGTTTAATTTATTGTGTGTTTATATATTTAAGCTTTTTGACATTTTCAAGTGTTCTACACACACACACCAACAAACACAATGACGCAATTTGTGTTTGTGTATGGGTATATAATGGCCAAGTAAACACTTGTGTTCACTTACATATACAGAGACAGACATAGTTAAATAACACAGCCATATACAGTTTAAATGCCAAACACTTCAACGATTGTGAAACTGACATTGAGATCCTTAAACATGGCACACACACACAAACAAAAAAAAAGATGCAAAGCTTTAACAACAGACAAATAACCTCGATTGATAGACAGTAAGGGAGAGAGCTGGACGAACGGACGGACAGACATATATAGAAAAACAACAGCAAAAAAGTAAACAGACAGTCATGGCCACATGTGAACATTGACGACGACAGGAAAGGACCTATACCAATACTATCGCAGAACAACAACGAAACAGAGACGAAACACAAACAAAACAAAACATAAAAATTGTCAAACAAACAATGCAAAGACGAAATAATAAAAAAAACAACAATACCCACAATACAATGACACTTCAATGAAGCGTAAAAATACTTTAAGAAAGGGAAGAAGTGGTCGAATAAAATCGGAATTACTGTCCGAAACATGAAAGGGATAATAAAAAGGATAAGGACCAATAAAAACAAATATTTCAAAAAATCCAAGACTTAGTGGACCTTAAAATTGCATGCCAATTTTTCCCTCGAAGGTACCTACTCATGTCTTTTTGCAACCTATGATACATTTAATTTAATTTGGGCAGATTTAGAGTCGTCTGCGTACCATAGGACAAATTTATTGAAAATTATGTATATCAAAATTTTGTTAAAAATTTGATTTAACCCCATTTATGTAAAATCGGACGAATATTCAGTACGCTATGCCAAATTTCGTGCAAATCGAAGGATAACAAGTGAAAAAGCGTTAAGTTCGGTCGGGCCGAACTTTAAATACCCTCCACCATAGTTATACAGAGATACATGCAATGAAAATAAGGGCAACATACCAAAAAGTGGGCATATATCGATAATTCTCTATACCGATTTATGTAAACCATTATGTACACCAAATACAAACTTCAGCAATTTTTAAAGGGGGTTTTTCCTAAAACCTGTAAGGTCCAAAAAGTGGGCTGATACCGATAACGCATGGTGGAGTATAAAATCCTCAAACTACTGTAATTTAGATTACATAGTAATTGCTTATCTCAATTCTTTCCTTCAGGAGGTATCAAAATATCGAAAATTGGGGGTACCCTTATATGGGGGCTACTCGAAAAAATTGACCTATATTTATAATTTTTTGTGGAGAGATTTGCTACCCAAAAACAACTTAAATTACTAAATTACAGCCAATTCGGTGAAAAAATCCGTAAAAACCCCCCAAAAACTGGAAATTGGGAGGTACCCTTATATGGGGGCTACCAGAAAGAGTGGACCTATATATATATATAATTTTTAACATTTGGTACCCAAAAAAGAACCCAATGTACCAAATTTCAGCGAATTCGGTTGAAAAACGCGCTCAAGAACTTCAAAATACTGAAAATTGGGGGTTCCCTTATATGGGGTCTGTCCGAAAATATGGACCTATATTTATAATTTTCTGTGAAGAGATTTGCTATCCAATAATAACTCAATATACCAAATTTTAGCGAATTCAGTTGAAAAACGCGCTCAAGAACCTCAAAATACCGAAAATTGAAGGGTACCCTTATATGGGAGCTATGCCTAAATATATGAGAGCTATATCTAACTCTAAACCGATTTTCCCGAAACATAGCACACATCATTCTGTGCTTAATTTAGTACGCTGTGCCAAATTTTATGCAAATCGAAGAGTATATAGGGACTTAGGTGCACCATTTACATAAAATCGGACGGAAATATATATGGGAGCTATATCTAACTCGAAACCTATTGTCACGAAACTTAGTACACATCATTCTAGGCTTAATTCAGTACGCTGTGCCAAATTTCGAGCAAATCGAAAATTATTTAGGGACTTTGGTGCACTATTTACCTTAAATCGGACGAAAAAATATATGGGAGCTATATGTAAATCTGAACCGATTTTCACGAAACTAAGCACACATACTTCTAGCCTTAATTCAGTACGCTGTGCCAAATTTAGTGCAAATCGAAATACATTTAGGGACTTTGGTGCACCATTTACATTAAATCGGATGAAAATATATACGGGGGCTATATCTAAATATAAACCGAATTTCACGAAACTTAGCACACATCATTCGAGGCTGAATTCAGTAGGCTGTGCCAAATTTCGTGCAAATCGAAAGATATATAGGGACTTTAGTGGACTATTTACCTAAAATCGGGAGAAACTATATATGGGAGCTATATCTAAATCTGAACCGATATTCACGAAATTTAACATACATCATTCTACACTCAATTCAGTACGATAGGCCAAAGTTCGTGCAAATCGAAATATATATAGGGACTTCGGTGCACCATTTACATTAAATGGGATGAATATATATATGGGAGCTATATCTACATCTGAACCGCTTTTCACGAAACTTTGCATACATCATTCTATACTTAATTCAGTACGCCATGCCAAATTTCGTGCAAATTGAGAGATATATAGGGACTTTAGTGGACTATTTACCTAAGATCGGACGAAAATATATATGGGAGCTATATCCAAATCTGAACCGATTTTCAGAAAACTTGACACACACCATTCTAGGCTTAATTCAGTACGCTGTGCCAAATTTCGTGCAAATCGAAAGATATATAGGGACTTTGGTGCACCATTTGCCTTAAATCGGACCAAGATATATATGGGAGCTATATTTAAATCTGAACCGATTTTCACGAAATTTAGCACACATCGTTGTAGACATAATTCAGAACGCTATACCAAATTTGGTGCAAATTGAAAGACATTTAGGAACTTTAGTGCACCATTTACCTTAAATCGATCGAGAATCTGAACCGATTTTTCTCAATTTCAATAGGGTTCGTCCTTCGGCCAATTGAATGAGCTTTACCAAATTCCATCCAATTCGAATAATAAATGCGACCTGTACTTTGTTTACAATTTATTTGAACCAGTGAGCTGAGCAGTATCATATGGTCGGCACCGTCCGACTAGTGCCGACCATATGATACCCTACACAACTTCCACGAAAATCTAACTTTCTGTTGTTCTATATTCTGAGCTTGTGTAATATTTCGCAATATTTGCACCCTCTTGACCGACTAGATGTCAACATATATTTCTAATATTTAGTTGACGAGGGCTGCATTTGTCCAGATTCTTTTTACAAGGGCTGTACTTATTCAGATTCTCTTTACCATGGGTTATGTTGTGATGTTGGGCATTCAATTGTGGCCTATAGATCGGCTCGAAAAAACAACACAAACACACACACAAACAAATATGATTTCGGTCCACTTCATCCCAAAATTATTATCTGATCATCACCGAAAATTATAGGCGCTGTCCTTGACCATAACTGGAACCTCATGAAATATTTCAAAGCGATCGGCGCTATATTTCCGCTCTCCAGTGTGGTAATGGGTTACTAAATAATATCTGAATACTTAAGCACCAGTAAATATTTACGTGTAACTCCCACATCTGAGTACATACGAACATAATTGGTATCAATTTAAAGGTCGACCACACCTCTTGGGCATACTATCAACAGCCATAGAGTACAAATTTTGTCATTTTTCTCACAAAAGCCAGGGTCCATTTGACACGCTAAATGTTGACCGATATTTATCAAAACAGGCATGCTTATTTTTTGGCCCGATCCCCTTCATGTAAAATTTCGCAATATTCGGGCCATAATTGCGGTCTATGTAGCGACCAGAAAAACCGACAAAAATAAGTATTTGGTCCATTTCATCCCCTAAATATTAACCGATATTTACCAAAAACAATAGGGGTCTTCATTGGCCAGAACCCAGCCTACAAGCAAAATTTCATGAAGATAGGTCCATAACTGTGGCCTGTATGGTGTTTATAAATTATAATGGACAGACGGACGGACACACATGTCTAGATCAACTCAGCTAGTTGAGATATGACGATCGGTATACTTATAGGTGGGTCTAGGACCAATATTTCGCGGTATTACAAACTCTTGGGCCTGCACAAAGCTATAATACCCTGACAGCATAGTTGTGTAGGGTATAAAAACTCATGCCTCATATAGGTCTCTAGAAAACTTATTTAAAAAATCCACGCCTTATGTAGGTCGGTGTATAGAAAAAATATTTAAAAAATCGACGCCTTATATAGGTCTTCCAAAAAAAATTATTTAAAAAATCTGCATCTTGCGTAGGTCCTTCATATAACTTGGACTGCAAAATAAATCACAGCTTTCAGTTGTCCTGTAGATATGTCCTTGTGTTCCTCTGAAAAGTACCCCGTCTTTGTTGTGAGTTTATCTCCTGTATCAAGGGTGGGGGGAAAGTGTTCCGATGAAGTGATAGCTTAGCCAAAGATGTTTGTATTTTTCTTGTCATGTCCTTTGTCACGCATACAACGGTATTGTATTTCAAAAAATGGTTTTTGTTTATTTTTATTTTATATTTTCTGTTGTTGTTGTTGCCTTTCTTCTTAGCTGTCACTTAGGTTGTCCCTGTCAGTGGTGTCTGTCCGCCTGTCTGTCGTTCGGTCTGCTTTGCCAACTTTTGTTTATGATTTGATTTTTCAAGTATTTAACTTTGCTTTGTTGCTGTTTGATGAAAGTGATATGTGTGTAAAGATGTGTGTGTGTGTGTGAGTGTGTTTGATAAAGTGTATTGAAGATTTATTTGTTATGTTGGGATTTATGTGATTTTGAAATATATAGGAAGGGGGGAGGAAGACGGCATGGGGTTGGAATACTTAGAGCATAAGAGTATCAATATAGGTGGGAAAATATTTTGAAAAAAAAGAAAACAACAGACATCCTTTGTTGACAAAAACGATAGATACGATATATCATTCCAAAGTGACTATTGGAAATGAAACTAAAACAAAAAAGAGGGTACACAATTTCAAAAAGAAAATATTTAAAGAAGTACAAAGAGGTCCTTTTTAAATACATATTTGAAATTAAATATTCCCCCTCCCTCCCTTTTTACATTTTTAATTTCCATATAAAAGTCTCCACAATTCAGAGACATGATACTGTTGCAAAACAAATAAAAATCCCATTCTATTTTTCTTCGTATTGTAACATCACAATCCTTTTATTGTTATTATCCTCTCCCACCCAGGTCCTTTAACACTCTCATTGTTATTATTTTTCAATTCAAATAACAAAATGGTTAAATACAATACAATAACAACAACAACAATAGCCAAACTTACCACCAATAGCCACACAAGTTATATTTATTATGGCACCTTCATTGTATGGACCCAAAACATGATCCTTTATTGTTGTACCTTTGTGATCCAGTATTGTAATCGATTCGGGTGGAACTGGAAACAAATAGAAGAAACAGAGACACAAAACAGTCGTTGTTAGTAAATACCATATCAGACACAAATGAAGCATTACAAATCACAACAATAATAGAATTGTAGGTAAGTGGCAACAAAGGTTGTTAGGAGAAAAATAGGATTTAGAGCAGCAAATGTCCTTAAGTCATTTACATGAATACATAAAGTGACCTTGGAAAAAAATATTAAAAATAGAACTAAAGCAGCTAAAATATTTAAAATTTTTAGAAAAATATTTACTTTAAAAATCTACTCCCTGTGGAGGTCCTTGAAAAATATTTACATTGAAAATCTACTCCTTGTGGAGGTCCTAGAAAAATATTGTTTTAAAAATCTACTCCTTAAGAAGGTCGGAAAAAAATACGATTTAAAAAATCTATTCCTTATGAAGGTCCTAGAAAAATATGATTTTAAAAATCTACTCCTTATGAAGGTCCTAGAAAAATATGATGGAGGTCCTAGAAAAATATTATTTTTAAAATCTACTCCTTATGAAGGTCGCAGAAAAATACGATTTAAAAAATCTATTCCTTATGAAGGTCCTAGAAAAATATGATTTTAAAAATCTACTCCTTATGAAGGTGTTAGAAAAATATGATTTTAAAAATCTACTCCTTATGAAGGTCGCAGAAAAATATGATTTTAAAGGTCCTAAAAAAATATTATTAAAAATCTACTCCTTATGAAGGTCGTAGAAAAATATTATTAAAAATCCACCATATGATTCTCTTCATCACTCGAAGGAACATACTCATGTCATTCTGCAACCTATGATAAATGTAATTTTTTTCGGGCAGATTTAGAGTCGTCTGCGTACTATGGAACAAATTTATGAATAACGATTTATAGCACAATTGATACACGCTATTCGGTACGCCGCACTGTTAAAAATTTAATTTCAATCAGACAACCGTTCGAACTACATATGGAAGCTATGGCTGCATCTGCACCAATTTCAACAAAACCGAATAACGTCTTTCAAGTCGTGTTAATATATATATATATATATATATATATATAGTTACTTTGCACCATTTACAAAAAATCGGACAAAACTATATATGGGAGCTATATCTAAATCTGAACCGATTTTAACTAAACTTCGCAGACATCAATCTGAACCTAATTCAATACTCTGTGCAAAATTTTGTCTCAATCGGACAAATATTGGGAGTTTGAAGCATTATTCACAAAAATCGGACAAAACTATATATGGGAGCTATATCTAAATCTGAACCGATTTTAACAAAACTTGGCAGATATCAGACTGGACCTAAGACAGTACTCTGTGAAAAATTTTGTCCCAATTGGACAAATATTGGCAGTTTGGTGAATCATTCACATAAAATCGGACGAAACTATATATGGGAGCTAAAATCTAAATCTGAACCGTTTTTAACAAAACTTGGCAGACATTAGTCTGTACCTAATTCAGTACTGTGTGAAGAATTTTGTTCCAGTCGTGCAAATATTGGCAGTTTGGTGAATCATTCACAAAAAATCGGACGAAACTATATGTGCAATATTTTATCTCAATCGGACAAATATTTCAATAGGGTTCGTCCCTGGGCCAATTAAGTGAACTGTGCCAAATTTCATCCAAATCGGTTCATAAATGCGACCTGTACTTTGTTCACAATTTAACATCTACAGACGGATAGACGAACGGACATGCATACATCGATTCAGAAAGTGATTCTATGCATATTCTCAAAAGGAACCTGACAAAGACATAATACCCTGTACGACAGTGTGGTAAAGGGTATAAAAATTCACGCCTTATTTAGGTCTCTTAAAAATATTTTCTATAAATATAGGTCGAGGAAAAAAATATTAAGAAAATCCACGCCTTATATAAGTCCCTTTTTACCGTGGGTTATGTTGTGATGTTGGGCTTTCAATTGTAACATATAGATCGATTCGAAAACAAAAACACAAAAAAATAAATTTTCGGTCCACTTCATCCCAAAATTATTATCTGATTATCACCGAAAATTATAAGCGTTGCGATCAGCGCTATATTTCCGCCATCTCGGTTTTTGGGCCATAATTGCGGCCTCTGTAGCGACCAGAAAAACCGACAAGAATTAAGTATTTGGCCCATTTCATGCGATAAATATTTTCCAAAACCATTGACCAGAATCATAACTGTGGCCTCTATCGTTTCTACAAATTACAATGGAAAGGCAGACGGACGGACGGACACACATGTCTAGATCGACTCAGCTGGTCGAGGTATGACGATGGGTATACTTAAAGGTGGGTCTAGAACAAATATTTCGCGACGTACAAACTTTTGGGGCTGCACAAAGCTATAATACCCTGACAACATAGTTGTGCAGGGTATAATAAAAAATCCACGCCTTATATAGGTCGAAGAAAAAAATTATTTAAAAAAAATTTAGGTCCTTAAAAATATTTCTTCAAACATCTTTGGTCCTTTTTATATTTTCATTGATTAACAGGTAAATACAGGAGTTAAAAAAATTATTTTAATATTTTTCCAAGAAATGACACGAACTTGCTTTCTTCATTTACACTTTAAAGAACCCTTTTTAAAGTTTTGTAAAAACAAACTATATTTGCCCCTTTTGGGTTTTCCCCAAAATATTTAATTTATTGTAAATAAAACTCCACACACACACACACAATGACACACATCGTTTTCGGGCACATAACCACATGTGCAATATATACATATATCGTTTGGGTTTCTTTTTTTTCCAGAAAAGAAAATTTGTATCTTTCTTGAGGTTTTGCTGCTGCTGCTACATCCTTGCACATATTTCTTACTTCGTCTTGGTCTTCTTCTACTTTCGGTTGTTGGTTGTTCTGTTTGAAAATGGTTTAAAAATGTGTGGTTAAAACTAAACTTAAAGAGGAAGAAGAAGAATAAAGTGGATTTATTGCAATGCCTTTTGTAGTTGATGCACAACTCTAACTCACAAGCTTTCGGAGGGTGTTGTTCTGGTGAAGGAGAGGAATGTGAGATGGAGGGTGTGGATGTGTGTGTGTGGTTGGTTTCTTTTGTAGGTTGTATCATAAACAATTTACTTGCTATTTATTTTTGGCTTAAAGGATTTGTAATTTATATAACAATTATTTAACAAATTTATAGTTGAACTGCTGATGCTGCTGCGTTTGGTAGTAAAGACACAAAAAACTATTGGGGTCACATAAATCCCTTTGATTGTGTGTAAATACATCTGTTCTTTTTTACGAGGCTTTCGGGTTTAATTTTTAAAATTTTATTTTATATAAGAGAATTTACAAAAACAGTTTTTATTATACAAATAAAATTAACCACATTTGGTGGATATGAATTTAAAGGACCTACAATTGGCATGGATTTTTTATTATTTTTTTTTTTTTTTTTGGGACTATATGTTTCTAGGACTATGAATAGCCGGAGATTTTTTCAAAATCACTTTTCAAGGACTGTTAAAACGCGGATTTTTATACCCTTCACCACATTGTGGTACAGGGTATTATGTCTTTGTGCATATGTTTGTAACAGCCAAAACGAAACGAGATAGACCCATGGTTCCTTTTGAGAATATGCGTAGAATGACTTTCTGAGTCGATTTATGCATGTCCGTCCGTCCGTCTATTGGTGTTAAATTGTAAACAAAGTACAGGTCGCATCTATAATCCGACTTGGATGAAATTTGGCACAGCTCATTTGTTTGGCCCAAGGACGAACCCTATTGAAATTGGGAAAAATCGGTTCAGATTTAGATATAGCTCCCATATATATTTTCGTCCGATTTAAGGTAAATGGGGCACCAAAGTCCATCTACATCTTTCGATTTGCACGAAATTTGGTACAGAGTACTGAATTAGGCCCTGAATGATGTGTGCCAAGTTTCGTGAAAATAGGTCCAGATTTAGATATAGCTCCCGTATATATTTTCGTCCGATTTAAAGTAAACGGGGCGCCAAAGTCCCTAAATATCTTTCGATCTGCACGAAATTTGGCATATGGTACTGAATTAAATCAATAATGACGTGTGCCAAATTTCGAGAAAATCGGGTCAGATTTATATATAGCTCCCATATATATTTTCGTCCGATTTAAAGTAAATGGGTCTCCAAAGTCCCTATATATCCTTCGATTTCTGCGAAATTTGGCATAGGGTACTGAATTGGGTCCAGAATGATGTGTGCTAAGTTTCGTGAAAATCGGTTCAGATTTAGATATAGCTCTCATATATAGTTTTCTCCGATTTCATGTTAATGGTGCACCAAAGTCCCTATATACCATTCGATTTGCATGAAATTTGGTACAACGTACTAAATTAAGTCTAGAATGATGTGTGCAAAGTTTCGTGAAAATCGGTTCAGATTTAGATATAGCTCCCATATATATCTTCGTCCGATTTAAGGTAAATGGTGTTCCAAAGTCCCTATATATCCGTCGGTTTGCACGAAATTTGGTACAGCGTACTGAATTAAGTCTAGAATGATGTGTCCAAAGTTTCGTGAAAATCGGTTCAGATTTATATATATATATATATATATAGCGTGTTGAATTAAGGCTAGAATGATGTGTAGTAAGTTTCGTGAAAATCGTTTCAGATTTAGATATAGTCCCCATATACATTTTCGTCGGATTTTATGTAATTGGTGCATTGACACAATGAAAAAGCGTTGATTTTTATTTATTTATTTATTTCTTTTTTTGAAGGTCTATGCAAAGGAGTACATTTTTTAAAAACATTTTTTCATGGACTATTTAACATCGTTTTCAGGGAGCCCTGCAACAATTAAACCTTAGAAACAATATTTTTTCCCAGTACTCCATTGAAACACCTGTTTTAATTTTCTTGTTCCTGGAAAAAGACACGAAACACACATACACTCTTACCACCTGAACGCAATAATTTACTTTAGCTTAAAGCTAGCAACAAATTTACGACAATGAGATTTTATGTTCCCCAGAAAAAGAAAAAAACTGGGAAAAAAACATCTTCCTAAGCCGCAGCGAAATGCAAAACTTTGCATTTCTAACACAATTTCCAATAACAATGAAAGCAAAAAAACGAAACGAGAAAAAAACTGAACAGCAAACTTTCTAATAGCATAAAATCTTTATTTAAGATCCTATTTTACCCTAGACATTGAGATTTTCAAGTTGGAAAATACTGAACGACTTTTTTTCTTGGATTTTCTGCACATGGAAAATATTTCTTCAGTTGTTCGAAACTTTGGTATTATTTCGTTTGCCGCAATGTTGCATGTTGTTTAAAAGTTGGCTTTAAAAGTGTGTTCCCGAGTATGTGATGGTGTGTGTATGTGTGTTGAAGCAGAAAACCCCCATTGAAATGAAAAGGAAACTAAAACTTCATGGGCTCCCCTAACTATGGTTAAACTTTTTCCGGAAGAAAGTTGCGAGAGAGTGTATGGGTGTGTGTGTATGGAGAGTACTATTTTTCAGGGAAAAGTGTAACAGTATTCGTGGACTTTTTTGTTGAAAATCATTTTGCACTTTTGCCTAGAAAATAATTGTGTATATGTGTTTGTTACAGTTGAAGGGTTTTTTTTTCAATGGAAATCCTTTAATGTTTGTTGCAATAATAAAAAAATAGATATTTTATAAAATTTTTGCATCCACTTAATATGCAATTCAATTTATTTAACAGTTATTTGGAAGACTTTTTTCCAATTAATTTTTCTTTATTTTTCTCCAATGAATGTCTGTAATAGGCAATGTTTATTCCAATAAGGAATTTTTCTTTTTTTCTTCCAAAAAAATTACATAGGAGTGTCTTAAAGCTACATAATATGAAATTGATTCAGTAGACTTTTCATAATGTCTTTAAATATGCTGGAAAATTTTCGAAATGAAAATGAAAACTTTCTGTTGTTCAATATTAAGAGATTGGGCAATATTTGCACACTTTTGACTGGCTAGAGGTCAGCACATGTTACTAATAATCAGTACAGCCCCTCTAATTACTTGTCCAGATTCTCTTCACCGTTGGTTGTGTTGTGATGTTCGGCTTTCGACTCGAAAAGTACAAATAATTAAGTTTTCGATCCATTTCATCCGAAAAATTATTATCTGATCATCACCTGACATTTTAGGCGTTGTCCTTGACAATAACTGGAACCTCATGGAACATTTCAAAGCAACCAGCGCTATATTTCCGCCTCGTAAGCACCTGTAAATATTTAAGAGTAACTCCCGCATCCGAGTACCTACGACAATATAATTGGTATAAATTTAAAGGTCAACAACTCCTCTTGGATATACTATCAACTTCTGGGGTCTATGTCCTTCAGTGGTAAATATATATTTTGTATACCCCATACTAATTATATTATTTTTTCCCGTTTGTAACTCATGGAAATGTTCATTTCCGATCCTATAGAGTATATATCGACGCCTCCGGAGAATAGTATGCTAAGTCTGAAAAGAGAGTTTTTCAGCAGAAGCTCTCAATTTATGGAAGTTTCTTAAATCTTACGTGCCATGCTAAGTACATTGTTGCTTATAACTTTGGTCGTCGATATGTTTTTGATCAGCGTTAAATACTACGACGATCTAAGCATGTCCGTCTGTCAGTTGTAATCACTTTAGGCTCTAAACAAATTGAAATCGATCGCCAACATTTTTCATAGAGTATCTGAAGACAGGTCAAGTTTGAATATAAATTATGTCCACCTTTCCTAGTAGCCCCCATACCCCACAATTTGCAGTCATTGGGGGGTTTTGACCACATTTTTCAACCGCTTTGGCTGTAAAATAGTGCTTTGAGTTCTTGCTGCGTAGAAAATCTCTTCACTAAAAATTATAACTATATGTCAATTTCTTTTCGGGTAGCTCTCATATGAGGGTACCCTCTAATTTACGGTATTTTGGGGGTTTTGAGCGCGCTTTCAACCGATTTCTCTGTAACCCTTTGTAGTGTTAGTCCCCATATAACCTCTTTTTATATCCTTCGACACACTGTGTTACAGGGTAATATGTCTTTACGTATATTTTATTTGACCAAAGGACGGACCCTATTGAAATTGGGAAAAATCGGTTCAGATTTAGATATAGCACTCATATAAATTTTCGTCCGATTTAATGTAAATGGTGTAACAAAGTCCCTACATATCTTTCGATTTGCACGAAATTTGGCACAGCGTAATGAATTAAGTCTAGAATGATGTGTGTTAAGTTTCCTGAAAATCAGTCCAGATTTAGATATAGCTCCCATATATATTTTCGTCCGATTTAATGTAAATAGTGTACCAAAGTCCTTATATATCTTTCGAGTTGGACAAAATTTGGTATAGCGTACTGAATTAAGTCTAGAATGACGTGTGTCCAGTTTCGAGAAAATCGGTTCAGATTTTGATATATCTCCCATATATATTTTCGTCCGATTTATGGTGAATGGGGCACCAAAGTCCTTATATATCTTTCGATTTGCACGAAATTTGGCATAGCGTACTGAATCGAGTTTAGAATGATGTGCGTAAAGTTTCCTGAAAGTCGGTTAATATTTAGATATATTCTCGTTCGATTTAATATAAATAGCGTACAAAAGGCCCTATATTTCTTTCAATTTGCAAGAAATTCCAGACAGCTCACTGTAATAAAGTAGAATGAATTGTGCTAAGTTTCGTGAAAATCGGTTCAGATTTAGATATAGGCAACATATATACGTTCCGACTATTTTATGTTTATGGATTACCAAAGACCCTACATTTTTTTTCGATTTGCAGAATATACCCATATTGATGAAGAGTATCATATAGTCGGTCCAGTCCTTTACTACTTTCCTTACTGGGTTTTATTTTATTATTATTATCTTTTTTTTTTTTTGCTAGCCTCCATTATGACCCGATCATCACGAAATTTTACACAGAGGAAGAGGTCCGACATGGAATAAGCATGACTGTTTATAACGGAAAGATATGTACCGGAGAGTTGACAATATATCCAACAGGAGTGGCCGTCCTCTATATTGATACGAACAATATTATTGTGTATAATCGGAGGTGGGTATTATACCTAAATATTTACAGAGATCTACCTATTCTGATATTGTTTAGTATTGCCATTAACACACTAGGGGGCGTAAACTTCACTCCGATCGAAATCGTCCTATCAAAAATTATTAATATGAAGTCGATCTTTGGTTATAGCATCCAAATACGATGTGGTTGAACTTTTTTCACTCCGCAACAGGGTAGGTAACTTCTTTGCAGAATATATTCAATACAAGCCCATGTTCCTATAGAAGAGCTGGAGATCTTCTTATCGAAGACATGGAGCTCTTCTTAACGAAGACCCGGAGCTCTATTAACGAAGACCTGAAGCTCATCTTATCGAAGACCTGGAGGTATTTTTATAGCAGACCTGGAGATTTTCTTATCGAAAACTTGGAGCTATTCTTATCGAAAATCTGTAGCTATTCTTATTGAAAACCTGTACTATTCTTATCGAAGACATAATGCTCTTCTTATCGAATACCAGGAGCTCTTCTTATCGAAGATCTGAAATTTTTCTCATCAAAGACCTGGAGCTCTTCTTATCGAAGACCTAAAGCTTTTCTTATTGAAGACCTAGAGCTCCTTTTATCGAAGACCTGGGGCTTATTTTATCGAATACCTGTAACTCTTCTTATCAAAGATCTGGAGGTCTTTTTAAAGCAGTCGTGGACGTCTTTTTATCAAAGCCCTGGAGGCGTTCTTATCGAAGAGTTATTCTTATTTCAGTGGTAGTTATATTTTAGTGTTATTGTAAAGGGGGCCGAATTTGGACTCATCCGACAATACTTCTCTAATTTAATATTTTTGGTTCCCCATGGGTCGAAAATAGTCCTACCAAATGTTTTAGCTATTAGTCGATCTCTGGGTATAAGCCCCATATAAATGTCCTGTTCATTCTTTAGAATATAAGTTCATGTTCCTCCAGGTCCCATACAAACGTCTAGCGATATTTTCGGTATGTTGTAAAATCTACCACAATTTTCTAACCTGATTCGTTGCTGTTTGGTAATAACCCTCATTATTAAAGTCACGATCGATTTTATGTATTTGGGATGTCAGCATCATTGTGGAGGGTATAGAATATTCGAACCGTTAGAACGTAATGGCGTTTTTACTTTACTAGTAGTTTTTTTATTACACCAAAGGGTTCATATAGCGCATAATTTTGACAGGTTTCGAATTTAGCTCCTCAGAAAGTGAAAGTTCAGTAGCGAGTTTTGGTTTCGTTTGACTATCTTGCACGAATTCCGACTTTAAAGCTACAAATTTCAATATGTCATCCACTATTTTTTATTCTTCTGAAAGCAAGAAGACTTTCTTAGCACTGATGTAAATATCTTTATTTTTTCTACGGCAAAGTTAATGTACAGAATCGAATTTTTGCCTTGTCCGACTATCTGGTTCGAAGTCCGACAAATTTTTAATAAATTTCAATATGTCTTCAACATTCAATATCTTAAAGACGAACCACCAAGTATTGAAATAAATATCTTAATTTTTTCCAACAACAACTTCAATTTGCTTTTGTTGTTGTAATTTACTTCAGCCCGCATTCGATCGACATACGATAGCATTGAGAAGTAGACGAACAGAAGAAAAATTGTAAACGAAGTATGCTTTGTGTTAATGAATCCCTTTTGTAATTTCTCGTCATTGTTCTTCATGTTAATGTTTTTATTTTCTCGATTTTATTTGAGGATATTTATTTCTTATTTCTCTTCAATTTTATTTTGTTGTTGTTGGTATTTAACAGTTTGTAAATTTTTGCTGTTGTTGTTGTAGCATTCAATACTTACTTATGACGGTCAAATTAACTTTGGAATTACGTGTTGGGCTCTTTTGAAAATCGACACGGCACCGATATTCGCCCGTATCCTCCTGTTGGGCATTTGTCATGGTTAGTGTACCGGTGCGGCCATCGAGGGCAAAGGACAAACGTTCTCGATATGCTTCATCTGACCAATGAGTGGCATGGGAAAAGTTCGATTCACGGGTATCAACACTGCAAAGAAGACAAGGGAGAGAGAGAGAAAAATAAATAAAGAAGATGTGAGTAAAAAAAGATGAAATCAAAGAAAATGAATTGTCGAAATGAGAATGGCAGAAATTAAAACAATTGTCGGACAATAAAACAAATATCAACATCCAAATGGGGAAGACGAAGAATAAAAAAAGAAAAAAAAAACTTGAAGAATCCTCAATTGGAATAATGACACATAAGGATATCTTTTTCCCTTTGTTGTTGTTATTCGCCATAATGAGTTGATGTTGGCTGGGGAGAGAATTCTTGTTGAAGTGGCAATGGCCAAAGATTACAGGGTAATGGGGGTCTGAAGATGGGGTGAAGTGGGAGGGGGATGTGGACCCCATGCAAAATAAAACGGCGAACATTTTTTCCTTGGCTTTCTTTGGTTATGGACATTTGATCCAATTGTAATTCATCATCATCATTATCCTGGTGGTAAAAAATATCCTTCCTCAGTTCTCTACTCCTCATCCTCCCTTGGCTGCTTATTTTTGGCATAGTTTTTGCATTAAAATTTAACCTCCATTTCCGTTTTTCAAGTTCCTCAGTATTTTCGCCAACAAAAATTGCAAGAAAAAACCCCACCATTATTTGTTATCCTTTTGTCCTGTCCATTATCCATTCACCCCCTCCCCATCCAACACATGCCCAATAAAGCAAGAAAAGTGTCATCATTATCGTCAGTTTTGTCATCAACATTACTTTTCGGTTTCCTTTTGAAGAAAGGAGGAGGAGACAAACGGATTTTTTTTCACATCCTTTTGCAGGACAATAGGAGGAAAAAACACCAACAAAAAACTTTGTCCTTGCAAATGAATCCTCCAAAAAAAGTGAGGAGACAAAAAACCAACCGAAAAACTATAGTTTTGCAGCTCATTAGCGCAAGAAACCCGAAAGAATGACGCTGAATTTTTTATCTACGCGTTTTTTTTTTGCCTCCACCACTTCTTTTGGCGGGCCATCCACTTCCTTTTCAGCTGCTCCTCGCCGCCGCTGTGTCATTTATCTCATTTTATCGCCTGGTCGCTGCTATATTTGCTTGCTGTGACAAATTAATGAAAAGCCAACAACAACACCAACAACCCAGCCAAGCAATGACAAGCTATTACCCTTTTGCAGCTCTGTGGCGGCCTGCAAGCCAAAGAAATGAATGAAAATGAGCCTCGAAATGAGGGCAGAAGGAACAACAACAACAACGAAAGTGGAGACAACAACACTTGGCATCAAATTATCTGAACGGGGAAAAGGATAAAGACGTGGTGGATTTTTTTTTTTTTGCAATTTTTCTGCGAGATATATTTGAATGGTCATCATGGTGTCCAGTGGTCCAAGAAATGGAATTTACTTTGCCATTGAATGGAGAGGAAGGGAAGGAGAAGGAAGGAATTGAAAAGACTGATGGAATTTTTTTCAGGAAGAAAGTTACTTAAAACCAGTAAGGAAAGTAGTAAAGTCGGACTGGGCCGACTATAAACCTGAACCGAATTTCTCGAAACTTAGCTACATTTTTCTATACTTAATCCAGTGCGCTGTGCCACATTTCGTGCAAATCGAAGGATATATATGGACATCCGAGCAATTCCGAGCAAATCACAAGATATATAGGGACTTTGATGCACCAGTTACCTAAAATCGGCCGAAACTATAAATGGGAGCTATAACTAAATCAGAACCGATTTGCACGAAACTTAGCACACATCATTCTAGACTTAATTAAATAGGCTGTACCAAATTTCGTGCAAATCGAAAGCTATATAAGGACTTTGGTACACCATTTACCTAAAATCGGGCGAAACTATATATGGGAGATATACCTAAATTTGAACCAATTTTCTCGAAACTTAGCACACATCCTTCCTTACCTAATTAAGTACGTTGTGCCAACTTTCGTGCAAATCGAAAGATATATAGGGGCTTTGGATTACCATTTACATTAAATCGGACGAAAATATATATGGGAACTATATCTAAATCTGAACCGATTTTTAGGAAACTTACCACACATTGTTCTAGACCTAATTCAGTACCCTATACCAAATTTCGTGGAAATCGAAATATATATAGGGACTTTGGTACACAGAATGTTGCCTGCGGACAAGCCTCGTCGATTGGAATGGGCCCAAAGGGTCATCGAAATGGCCGAAGATGACGAGCAATTTTGGAACAAAATTATCATGTCCGATGAAGCCCATTTCACATTGAATGGCACCGTAAATAAGCAAAATTGCCGTTTTTACGCCACTGAAAATCCTCAGGAGATTCAAGAAGTGCCTCTTCATGACGAAAAAGTCACAGTTTGGTGGGTCGTTAGTGCGAAAATGATGACCAATTTTGTGATGTCCATTATTCGTCGAAAGCGTATGAGGCAGTTCTGGTTTCAACAAGACGGCGCTCCACGCACACAAGTCGCATATCAATCGATGTTCTGAAGAATTTGTTTTCGGACCGTTTGATGTCGAAAAGAGGTGATTTGGACTGGCCACCGCGTTCGCCCGATTTGATGCCGCCTGACTTCTTCTTGTGGGGATATTTGAAGTCAAAGGTTTACGTTAACAAGCCAAGGACCGTAGAAGAGCTCCGAAATGTTGGCAAAAACGATGGAAAATGCAGCAAAAAGGGCACAATATATCATCAACGACAGAGGCGGCCATTTGAGAGATAAATAAACAAATTAAATGATTAACATTGCCAACCGCCATTTTTTTATTTTTTTCCTTGATTTAAAAAAAAAAACATGGGTCCGTCGAATATGGGCAACCCTGTATACCTAAAATCGGACAAAAATATATCGGAGCTATATCTAAATCTGAATCGATTCCCCCAAGTGATCCTATGCATATTCTCAAAAGGAACCATGTGTCCATCTAGTTTCCTTTTGCCTGTTACAAACATATGCACAAAGACATAATACTCTGTACCACAGTGTGGTGAAGGGCATAAAAATCTGGTTTAGTTTTCTCACCTGTAAATGGGTGTCTTCAGTCCAACTTTATACCATATCACCAAGGCCACACGATCTTCGAGTAATGGTGGGGTTACATTACATGGCAGTCTTGCATGGGTGCCGACTATTGATTCGGCTACAACCGGAGGTCCTGGAAAGAGAACAAGAAGAAAAATTCAAAAATTTTAGATAGAAAACAAACACAATTTTTTTGAAGAGAATAAATTGCAGAACTCAAATCGCTTAAAAATGTTGATTTTAATATCCCGGAGAGTTAATTTATTTTCGAGATCCCCCTTTTGAGGTGCTTCATGCGAGGAAGGCAATTATTTTTTGTTCCTTAAATATTTATCTTAATTAAAAACTGAAAAAAACTTTACCTCAACTTAGTAGTAAATGCAACAGCTGTAAGCTGTTGACTTTCGACGCACATACACACACACACACACACCCAGGCTCATTGCGAACCGGGCTATTTTCATTTTCTTATTCTGCACTTTTATTTGTAAAATTCAAGTATAATTAGCAAAACAAATTGTAGTTTGTGCATAGCCAGAGTGCAGACCATCAGCAGTGGGAATTCAAGTGGAAGATAATGAGAAAGGGACGTAGTAATAACAAATAGTTAAACAGAAATGCAACAACAACGACGAAAAGTAGAAAAAAGAAATACAGCAAACGAGATAAATTGCAAGTTAAAAGAACAATAAATGACCAGAAGTTTTTTTTTGGCCAAGGAAGTTATACACTCAGAAAAAAGTGGGTGGTCAGATGGAGGATTTTTTTTTGAAAATAAAAAAAAATGAAAATATTTTCGCTTGGATCCAAAAAGGCGTAGATCTTTTCACATAATATTTTTCAGGGACCTCCACAAGATATGGATTATTAAGCTATAATTTTGAGAAAAAAATATTTGTTCAGGTACTCCAGAAATTTAAAATTTTTTTAATGACCTAAACATGCCGTGGATTTTTAAAGAATATTCTTAGTGATCTACAGAAGGCGTGGACTTTAAAAAGAATATTTTTCAGTGACCCATAGAAGGCGTGGATTTTTATAACCTTCACAACACTGTGATACAGGGTATTATGTCTTTGTGCATATGTTTGTAACAGGGAAAAGGGGTAGTCACATGGTTCCTTTTGAGAATGTACATAGAATTTCTTTCTGAGTAAACACAGTACAGGTCGTATTTTGAATCCGATTTGGATGAAATTTGGTACAGCTCATTTGTTTGGCCCACGGACGATCCCTATTGAAATTGGAAAAAATCGGTTCAGATTTAGATATAGCTTAAAGTTATTATATATCTTTCGATTTGCACAAAAGTTGTCATAGCGTGTTGAATTAAGTGCAGAATTATATGTGTTAAGTTTCGTGAAAATCGGTCTAGATTTAGATATAGCTCCTATATATAGTTTCGTCCGATTTTATGTAAATGGTGCACGAAAGTCCCTATATATCATTCGATTTGCAGGAAATTTGGCGTAACGTATTGAATTGAGCTTAGAGTTATGTCTGCTAAATTTCGTGAAAATCGGTCCAGATTTAGATATAGCTCCCATATATATGTTCGTCCGATTTAATGTAAATGGTGCATCAAAGTCCCTATATATCTTTCGATTTGCATGAAATTTACCATAGCGTAATGAATTGAGCCTAGAATGATGTGTGCTAAGTTTCGTGAAAATCGATTCAGATTCAGATACAGCTCCCATATATAGTTTCGTCCGATTTTATGTAAATAGAGCACAAAAGTCCCTATATATCTTTCGATTTGCACGAAATTTGGCTCAGCGCACTTAATTGAGTCTAGAATAATGTGTGCTAAAATTCATGAAAATCGGTTCAGATTTAGATATAGCTTCCATATATACTTTCGTCCCATTTTAAGTAAATGGTGCCCCAAAGTCCCTATATATCTTTCGATGTGCACGAAATTTGCTATAGCGTATTGAACTGAGCCTAGAATGATGTGTGCTAAGTTTCGTGAAAATCGGTTCCGATTTAGATACAGCTCCCATATATAGTTTCGTCCGATTTAAGGTAAATTGGGCACCAAAGGTCCAAAGTTAAGCCGATTGGGACACAATTTTGCTCAATGTACTGAAGTTACTATAACCTATTGGGTGTCAAGTTTTGTTTGAATCGGTTCGAATTTAGATATAACTCCTATATATAGAGTTTCGTCCGATTTTAAGTAAATTGTGCACCAAAGACCCAAATTTACGCCGATTGTCGCTCAATGTTGCACAACGTAACGAAGTTAGAGTAGTCTAACGTGTTTTGTTTAAATCGGTTCAGTTGTGGATATAGCTTCTATATAGGTTTATGGTCCTCCAAAAATGTGAATTCTATTAGGATGCATCTGTTTTATAGATCTATAGTGGTTAAGGGTATCATATAGTCGGCCCAGTCCGACTTTACTACTTTCCTTACTGGTTTAAAATAATGTTGTCCAAGGGCCTAAATAAGGAGTGGATTTTTTTTAAATTATTTTTTAAGGGTCGAAATAGGCGTGGATTTTTAAAGTTATTTTTTAAGGGTCGAAATTAGGCGTGGATTTTTAAAGTTATTTTTTTCAAGGTACTAAATAAGGTGTGGATTTTTTTCGTTTTTACCAAAGGTTTTGCCTTGAGTGTAAGTCCAATAGAATTGCATTGCATTCCCAAGAAGAAAAACTCTAGTGGTAGTGTCTTTTGCATGTTTTCGATTTCAATATTCCTTTCCTTCTCCATCTATTTTGATAATACAATACACAAAGGCAGCATTGGCCACTGGAGGGTATTATTTCTGCAAACTCAACTTATTTCAGGACCATTATTTTTTTGGGGGTTTACTTCAGTCCTCTCCCTTCCCCTTGGCCCACATCTTGTAGATATTTTCTGATATGACCGACAAAAAACTTAAACAAATTCCTTTCGTTTATTTTTTGTCTACTCCTTTCTTGGCTCCATGGTTTTTTGTAGAATACTTTAACTATTGTCTGAGTCGGTTCATCTCTTTGTGAGTGTCTGTGTGTGTGTGCTACAACAACAAATTACAATTTAATTTTAATAAAATACCATTGGGACTTAATGTTTTCTTTGATAAAAAAAAACTACGAAAGAGAATTTTGTTCACAAGACAACTAAAATGAATAGAAAGGAAATCGTTTGAATATCCTTTCCAAGGAATCTTTGTTGGCAGCATCATCATCTTCTTCTGCTGCATCTGCATTTTCTTCTTCTTCTTTTTCGTTATTTCGAGAATGTCTTCCAGTAAATAAATAGTTGGACTTTTACTAAGTAAAGCATCAGATTAGAGAAGATAAAAACAAATTATTTGTCTGAAATTGAAGTAGAGTTACTAAAAGCAGGAGATGTTTCTAATCCTTACAAAGGATATTCATTTAATGGAATTTAAGGAAATAAAAAATGAAAGGGAGGGAAAACTTAGGGCGCTCTATAAGGCGTGGATATTTTAAAGATATTTTTCAGGGTCCTTTATATGACGTGGATTTTTTAAAGAATTTTTTTAAGGGTCCTTTATAAGGGGTGGATATTTTAAAGGATATTTTTCAGGGTCTTTTATAAGGCGTGGAGATTTTGAAGAATATTTTTCTGGGTCCTTTATAAGGCGTGAATATTTTAATGGATATTTTTCAGGGTCCTTTATAAGGGGTGGATATTTTAAAGGATATTTTTCATGGTCCTTTATAAGGCGTGGATTTTTTAAAGAAAAATTTTCCGGTTCCTTTATAAGGCGTGGATTTTTTAAAGAAAAATTTATCAAGGACCATTATAAGGCGTGGATTTTTTAAAGAAAAATTTTCCGGTTCCTTTATAAGGCGTGGATTTTTTAAAGAAAAATTTTCCGGTTCCTTTATAAGGCGTGGATTTTTTAAAGAATTTTTTTAAGGGTCCTTTATAAGGCGTGGATTTTTTAAAGAATTTTTTAAGGGTCCTTTATAGGGCGTTGATTTTTTAAAGAATTTTTTAAGGGTTTTTTATAAGGCGTGGATATTTTAAGGAATATTTTGCAGTGTCCTTTATAAGGCGTGGACTTTTTAAAGAATATTTTTCTGGGTCTACCAAAGGCTTGGTTTTTTTTAAAGAATATTTTTCTGGGTCCTTTATAAGGCGTGAATATTTTAAAGAATATTTTTCAGGGTCCTTTATAAGCCGTGGATATTTTAAAGAATATTTTTCAGGGTCCTTTATAAGGCGTGTATTTTTTAAAGAATATTTTTCTGGGTCCTTTATAAGGCGTGGATTTTTTAAAGAATATTTTTCTGGGTCCTTTATATGGCGTGGATTTTGTAAAGAATATTTTTCAGGGTCCTTTATAAGGCGTGAATATTTTAAAGAATATTTTTCAGGGTCCCTAAAAGGAAGAAAATTCCTCAGTACCCTGAGGACTGTTTTTCGACAATTCCTCAGTAACCTGAGGACTGTTTTTCGTATAGAAAAAAATTCCTCAGTACCCTGAGGACTGTTTTTCGTATAGAAAAAAATTCCTCTGTACCCTGAGGCCTGTTTTTCGTATAGAAAAAAATTCCTCAGTAACTTGAGGACTGTTTTTCGTATACGAAAAAAATTCCTCAGTACCCTGAGGACTGTTTTTCGTATACGAAAAAAATTCCTCAGTACCCTGAGGACTGTTTTTCGTATACGAAAAAAATTCCTCAGTACCCTGAGGACTGTTTTTCGTATACGAAAAAAATTCCTCAGTACCCTGAGGACTGTTTTTCGTATACGAAAAAAATTCCTCAGTACCCTGAGGACTGTTTTTCTTATAGAAAAAAATTCCTCAGTACCCTGAGGACTGTTTTTCGTATAGAAAAAAATTCCTCAGTACCCTGAGGACTGTTTTTCGTATAGAAAAAAATTCCTCAGTACCCTGAGGACTGTTTTTCGTATAGAAAAAAATTCCTCTGTACCCTGAGGCCTGTTTTTCGTATAGAAAAAAATTCCTCAGTACCCTGAGGACTGTTTTTCGTATACGGAAAAAATTCTTCAGTACTCTGAGGACTGTTTTTCGTATACGAAAAAAAATTCCTCAGTACTCTGAGGACTGTTTTTCGTATACGAAAAAAATTCCTCAGTACCCTGAGGACTGTTTTTCGTATACGAAAAAAATTCCTCAGTACCCTGAGGACTGTTTTTCGTATACGAAAAAAATT